AATCTAAGCTGAATCACTGGACCTAATTTTGATTTATCTCAGCCACGCCATTTAGATATTAAATGTACATTTACCACTAGTGTTGACAGCTCATATGGCTTACCTCTCCCAACAGCATGGACAACTGATGGGCCAAAGCCCCGGATTTGGAATCCGAGTCCATCTGCAGAGTCAGGAATCTTCACTGTCCTGATATAAGCAAAGATTCAATATGAATGCAGCAAAAGGTAGCATTTTGTTATTCAAGATAAAAGTGGACAGCAATAAGTAGGTTACAAGGGTGTAAGACTCCACACTTTCATTCAATTCAGTTTCAGATTCAGCACCATTCACATTCCAGATACTTTGCACCACTGACATCAGAAATAAGAGCAAGCTGAGATACCGAAACCAATCAGAGGAAGGCAATACTATTTCGCAGGGAAATTCAGCATGCCGATTACAACAAAAGCACCACCATAGCTTTAAAATTCCTCCCAAAGGGACAACTGGGTAAGTTGCCACAGCACAGCAACACTGAAAGCCCTGGGAAGGCAAGCAGTCTCTCAGCCAAGAGGACAGAGCCTGGACATCACAGACCATGGCAGGCCTTGTCAGATGAGCTGCAGAAGATTGCAGAGACTAGATCCGTATTACAATTTATTAACATCTAAGTGTCTACTTGGTGAGTTTTATTGAAAAAATACTTTGTTGCAGTTTTCCTAAGCAGCTATGCAAAGTACTGAGTTCGGTAAAGCAAGAATCGCCTACTACTGTTCATATAACTTGTAAGTACACCGTGCTACGCTCCCGCTTGGTCTAAGCGCAACAGTAATAGACCTACTGACAAACATAACCAACAAAACCACAGTTCTGAGAATCAAAATTCACATCTACTCCTTAAAATGAAGCCCTGAGCTCGCCCAAAGTAAGCTAGCATATCCACATGATAGCAGCTCGGGTTCCAGAAAAAGCAACACAGCTGCATTAGCCCTTATCAGAGCTAGTTAGGTCATGCATAACAGTGCACCGATTTAACTTTGCAGCCTTTACTTCCAGAGCCAGCTCCGTTATTATTTAAGGGATCTTTGCCCCCAGCTCCATTTGCCAGTGCAAAAGCAGACAAATTCAAATTGATGCTGAAAAGTGATTTTAAAATACATTTGGACTGTAATAAACTTGATTTACAGGTAGTTTTGAATAATATCATTGCATCATTTCTTGTACTTTCATTTTTTTCTGGTACACATAATGCTTAGCATTTGGAGATGATTATCAGCAGAAGTGAGATCCAAAACCCACTGAAGACTATATGTTTTTAAAAAATATTAGAATATTCCTGAGATTAATACATTTTCATTTGAAATATTTTCATAAGTATAGCATAATTTAGTATACTTAATATATTAACTAAGGTTGATACAATCTATATGGTTTAATTCTGAAAATGCTTTGTGAACTTGCTAATGAGCTATGAAAGACCATCATTGGCAGTTTAAGCTAAGAATTTAGGAGAGAACTGTCTCTTCTGCCAACACAGTTGTGCTAGCAGCAGCTCCTGGCAAAAAGCAGGCAGCACTAGAAACAAATTCTTCAACTCCTCTGAACTCCTCATTCCTAGATCATCTCTGTCAACCTTGACATTCACCCACATTTTCACTGGCAAGTTGTGTCAGCAATTAAACCCAGATCTACATTAAAGAAAGGCCAAGATATGCATTTTATGCTTGCTACAATACTATCATCTATTGGTTTGGAGGATTTGTTTGTTGTTTTTGTTTGCTGGTTTGGGGTTTTTTTTGGAGTATCAGTCCAGATGATCATCTTTATGCCATATTTCTTTCTTTGCTCTTTTCCCCTTTCTGGGTGCCGTTGTTATTTCTCAAGACACCTTTGCTTATTAACAGGAGAAATACGTCTCCGTTTTACTGCTGAACCAGAGCCATTTCCAAGGCAGTCTGTATGTGCTATCTGGTAACAGAGGATGGTTTCTCCTTACGTGCAAAATTTGACCAAAATTACTCCTGACCACTGTTTCTTAGTCTTCTCTTTCTTTGGTATGTATAAACTAGTAACAACTGCATTAACTTTATTAATAGACCTATGCCCATTTACACACTTACTGAACCCAGCCATTAGGCCTCACCTTGTATTTCTTTTACGTAACAAAAATTGCAGTCAGGTAGGAATGGTCAAAACTGTGTACAGAAATGCATCTGTTACATAAAGATGGGGAGCTGTTTACTTGCTCCTACTGTTTACACAACCAGCACACATGCTGAAGGGGCCCATTAGATCACAGAGCCCGACTTCTGCCAAACCAGCCACTAATCCCCAGACAGAGGAACTTGTTTAATAAACACAGTAAGAGATAAGTGATCAAAACTGTCCATACAGTCAAGGAAACTTCATTTGCACTTGTGGTTCCTTCATGTATTTAAAGTGGCAGAGCTGATGATCTAAAGCACTTGTGTTTCGCTTTTGCTGACTGACAAATGTAATAAAACAAAATCAAAGCAGATCAAATTGCTTGCCTTTACAAAGTCAGATTACATACAGCATTTAAACTAACTTTACAGTAGTGCTGTCTGATGTTCCACTGGTCTTTTAAAATTCACTTCAACTGTAGTTTGTAAAAATTCCCCCAAAGGACTGACAACTTACTCCCGTGGTTTAGTGCTCACAAGAACCCGCAGGGGCTTTCTGCTGTTTAAACATGCTTTCAGGAAGGAATCCACTTCACTGAAGGGTCGCAGAAAAACCAGGTCACCGTTAATGGCAAAGATTTTTTTCCCAACTTCCAAGCCTGCCATCTAGAAAACAATAACAGTTGTATATACGTTTGCTTTTTATAATCGCTAACACTGTGTTTTCTTCTGCTTGAGTGCAACCTCAGTAGGAATAATGACACACACATTTTCTTTACGTTCTTTATGTGTCCTTCACATACCACGCACAAAAGACTTACACCACAAAACACTTCTAGAACCAGTTAAATTGGCATGAATGGTACAGTAAACTCCCATTCTGAAGAGACCTAAATGCAAGACCTAGTCTTAATCAAGATTTTATGACAGTATTACAATATCAGTTAATATTTGTAATAATTAACACAACAGCCTTCATTGAGCCAGTTTACTTTTTTTATGATGTTACCTAATTTGCCCATCCGTCATTCTCCAAAGGAACTAAAGCTTCTTTTCATAAGGAAAGACCTGATGAATATTTTAGTAAGTGAATATTTATTAAGTTCCAAAACAAAACAATATCCTTAAAAGTTTCATGGCCCTTGAGCCAAAGGCATGGCAAACCAAATGGCATACAGTTTTCAGACTCTAAACGAGAAAAAAACCGTGACTAGCTCAGATGGCGGGAGTACACAGAGCGGCTCAGGGCACAGGTTAGCCTTAGCACCATCTGAGATCGTGGCAGAACCTGACTGCTGGAAAAGACAATACGGAATTGTGCAAAGCTAACAGAGCTAAATCACCCTGGACATAGTTCTGTGGCTGTATTATATTATTGATTTGCTGTATCTATTTTTATTTTAAATTCCTATCCCACCATGAAATTTAGAAAGGCTTGAAATCCGTGTCTAAAATTTTTCTCTCGTGGAGGAGACTTGTTCTTTATCTTTCCATGTATAGAGACTCCCATGCAGTTCAGTAGAACAACATTAATTTACCCAAAGAGCACCTAAAGCAATGCTAACAAACAGAGGCTGTAATTTATTCAGATTCTCAAATTCTAGACTTTATCCAAAGCTTGATACATCCTTTACAATGAAATATATCAAGTGCAACTCACACATTAGCATACTAGTTTTATACTCATTTCATATTCTACCAGAAATGTTTATTCCAATCATGATTAATGTCATCACTGGAATATTATAAAATGTATAAAAATAAAATGATAACTCTTACATCACCACTCAATATGACAATTTACCTGAGCGGAAAGTGAGTGTTGATAATAGTCAGAGCTCTATTTTAAACAAAACAACAAAAAAAACCCAAATAAAAAAGGAAAAAAAAGATCCATAACCACAGCTTTCTTGGAAAGCTGTCATTGTTACCTTTTACTACTATAAATTTTCCCAACTGATCTATAAAACATACACCTGTGATCAAGTCAATAAAATAGGGAAGATAATTTATAATACTTGATACCTCAGCATTTGATCCTTTCTCCACCACTTTAATAATCGGCACCTTATTTTTATCTTCTAAACCAAAACCATAGGTGCCTTCATTAGATTTAATCTGCAAAATAAAATTGTTCAAAATATTGTTCAGAAAGGCATTAAGAAGAACTTAAGTATATCCCCATTAAATAACAACACACAGTGCTAATTCATTGTCACTACAACCAATTTTTTTAGTCATCAAAACACACAATCATTCGGTTTCACTCACCAATAATGACTTGGCTATGACATTTTCCACTACTTTCAGATCATGTTTCATGAGCCTGTGCTTCATATTTGACCCTTCCATTTCTTCATCCGCATAAAAACGGAACAGCAGTGGTTCATCTTTAAATTCGCTTTTCTCTAACACTGCATGATACAAAACCACACATATTAATCCTTTTTTTCTTTTGAACTTTTGAATACCGTGTCTTTCATGAGCCGTAATACTGAACATGTGTACACAGATTAAATGCTAGCAAACTATTTTTGTGTGTGAATCTAGGGAAATCTTAATTTTTAACATAAACAACAATTTTTATTTGGATCCATTACAGACAGGTATCACTAAGCTCATTTTCAACTACAACATCTGGATTTCACCAAGCTGAGGAAGACGCATTAGCCTGACATGGTTTTAGTGAAAATGCCAAGCACAAGGTTTTTTTCCTAAAATGGATTTAAAAACATGATTTTGAGAAGTTATGCTGGGCAGCTGCTGGAGATGCTCACCATCAAGACCTGGCACTCTCCAGGTAGTGAAGCATGTCAGGTTCAGTATTAGAAATGGGTTTGGTGGGGATGTGGAAGCAACTAGAACAGCAGACGGATGCAGTTTGTATGTTTAAAAATCAAAGGAAAAAGAACGAACAGTGCCAGAGAGAAAGTTAATTCTCCCTCCTCTAAAGAAGCTGATGAGAAAATTATTTCTTCCTCTTTTCATTTCAGCAAATGACCTACTGCTTCAATCCTTTCACCAGAATCTTCCCTCTGATGGTATTAAATGCGACCTTGTTCACCTCATTTTTGGTACTGCACATATCTCTGCTCTCCTCTCCCTTCTTTGTTCTCTGCTGTCCTTATGATTCTCATTTTTCTACAGTCCGCTTTCTCCTACTGTCACTCCCTTCTTCTTTGTTCTCTGCTGTCCTTATGATTTTCTCATTTTTCTACAGTCCGCTTTCTCCTACTGTCACCACTTCACTTTTTTAAAGTCATGCTTCTCCATACTTTATTCCTTCCTCCAAAAATGCCTCCCTTCTTTCCTACGTATTTCCTCAATTTTTATCATCTCATCTGTGCAAACATGTATCACCTGCTCAAGAAATTTCTTCAAAGTGGCTAATAAAACTTCCACACCAGAATCCTTCAGTGGATGAAGCCCTCAGTGCAAGCTATAAAATTGACTGAAAATAATTTTCAGAGTATACAATAGTTATATTTTTTTCTTGAAAACTGTAGGATAGGTCTCTTCAGTGATACAATGAAACAACGAAACAACTTCCTATCCCCTTCTGGAATATGTTTACCAGCCCTGCATTTCATTTCCTTCCTACTGTGTAGATAGCATTAAACAAAAGGTAAGCACAGCTTGTACAGAATGTATTTACTTACCATGGTGCATAAACCCATTATCACAAAGAGCTACACCGAATATCATAGCTTCTTCCCTCGTCCGGCAATCCCCCTGTTAAACCATAGCAGATTTTTTTTTAATATATTTTAAGAGAGCAGCAAAATGGATTCAATACACAATGGCGTAACTTCACAGGGCCAGCAATGGTTGTAGATTATATTTACCACCGCCACCTTTATATATATACTTATAGCATACATATAAAACAGTATATACATGTGTATATGCTATACCTCTTTACAGTTACAAATAAATATGTAAACATTCTAATAACACTGCATTCTCCATAAAAATTGAACATAATAGAATATAAAAGTATCAAAGTTTTTAACTTTTATTTTATAAAACTGATGCACGTTGACCGAGTGAACAGGATACCCTGTTCTTGTTCCTAGTTCACTTACAATAAAACAGAGCTGATGACAGCAAATTGGTACTGACTTTTATCCATCTACTTAGCAATTCAGAGTTTTCAGAGCCTATCCATTTCATTTTAAGCCATGAACAATGTTACATGCTGAATCACAAAGCTAAGTCTCATTAAAACATCTAAAGTTCAATTGCAAATAAGGAAGATAAGCACAAAAGGGATGAACAGCATGGCAGCTGACAGCTGGTTTCTGTTACTTCACTAGTTTAAGAGGATTACACTTACACACGCTGTTCTAATAACCCTTACACAAAGTGTTTGCATGTTATTCTGCTTAACACATCACTACCTTTCAAATTAGAATTTAAATGCGAAACGTACATAAATCCAAAGGTGTATACTTGCCTGTGCAATCAACCAGTCTATGAGTTTGTTAGCCATGACCACAGATTTGTAGGTTCTCAAGTGATAATCTTTATCCCTGTTCGAAACAAAACAAAACAATTTAAAAAAATCAAACAAAAACTCCAAAAGAGCCTAACAGAAAACAACTTGTATTTTATAAACAAGTTAGTACAAGCATGAATTGAGCATTTTGTAATGGTTCAGAAGTTGCCTCTCGAGTAAAAAAGCAAGTAAAACGTTTCAGTGTAGATAGAAAGGAGGATGCTGACCATATCTTACTTGGGCGATACAGTCACTGGAGCATAAAGGCAGTTGTCTTGTTACAGCTGGGACTCTCCAAATGAGGTAATGGAGTGTTAGTAAAGGAGTGTATTAATATATACAGTAAGTATCTAAGCATATCCATCAGGACCTAGAAGGCTCTAAAAGTCTGTAAAAAAAGGTCATCTTGAACAGAATTTGTAGTCATTTAATGATTCAGTTATGCTTTTTTTGTCTTGATAGCCCTTCAATCTTGTTTCATTACTCCCAAGAGACCAATCTTGAAAAGATGGGTTAGGTTCCTACATTCAAACACAGCATCTTCAGACTATATACGTCTTCCGAATGACTCTCTTAAGGATTTCCCAATTGGACTCACCTAATTACTGGGGTAAACAGACTGTGAAGGCGACAGTACAGCCGTACACCCTGTTAAAGAGAAAGATGAGGTTAGTTAACCACATGTTCACACCACAGAGAACGTAAGAGGAATGGACGCAGTAAGGAAGCCTGTATGTTCCAAATGCACTTCATTTAGATAGTAAAAAAGGTCTGTTCAAATTTCTGTATATTTTCATGTGCCAAAACTTAATATTTCCAGATAACAATATCGATGAATAAATTACAAGAAATAAAACATTTCCAATCTAATCTAAGCTTCACTGAGACACCTGCAAAAAGGATTAGCTTTAAGGCAGTATTAAAAAATTCTGACAGTATAGTACTTTGAAAGAAAAGTACACAAAACCTGAAAGATAAAGCAATGTTTCCATGCATTAAGGTTTTCCCAATCACTGGTTGCTATTCTACACACAAAGTGAGTAATTACAGTAAAAAACACTACATTTGATTATATGCACCGATACTTTACCTATAAGTTGAAATTATAACTAACAAATAAACTTTAAAAAAAAAAAGCAAGAAGATTCAAAGATTGGAAACGTTTTTAATTAAAAACAAAAAATAAAACATTTGGAGAAGTTTAAGAAACTACCATCAGAAAACATTATTTAAAAAAAGAAATCACATTAGTATTCCTTAGCAGACGATTATTTAAAAAGAAATCACATTAGTATTCCTTAGCAGACGATCAAAAAATAATTATGTTTATAACATGCAAGAAGAACCATGTATAACAATTAAAAGTTGTGTCAAATTAGATTCCATCCTACTTTGCTGTGCCTGGTAGTTCAGTATTGAAGATCTTTCTAGATATACCTTACATTAACAAATGCCAGCAGAAAAGTGAATGACACTGTAATGTAATATCCAAATGCTGATGTTTTCTACTGTCTCAAAATCATGAAAAGTTTGAATGTTAATGCGTTTAAAGGCAATTTTGTTCAATCATTTTGTTATGCTCTGTAGTGTTGATGGATAGCACTACCTATCTGTGTTTAAACATCTACGTGACTGCAGATTTACTGCCTTGTTAAGGCACTAATAAAAGACACTTAGACTTAAGAGAAAATTTAAAACAATTTTCTACGTATAGGCTTCATACTATTAAAATGGACTGAAAAATACAATAGACTGAAACACCAGCTTCAGAATCACCCAGAAACACAGGCAATGCATCCTGCATGTGAAACCATTAAATAGCAAAAATAACTAAAAAATAACAAACTTTAATTGTGTATTTAAAATGTGTAACAACAAGCCAAAATCTTCCCTTAGAAACGGAAAACTAAATTTGATTTACATAAATATAGAGATGGGCAAGTGTGAGGGGTTGTTATTTATCCTAGCATAATATTTTACACTATTTTTCAAGCAGAATCTCCATTTCTGATGTGTCCTTCCTAATAATAGCAACTATTCTATTCTGTACCTTAGAGATCACATCCTGCATCTCACTTCTTGGGTAGTATGTTCCATCATCATATCGGAATCGGTACAGCATGTGTTCAGGTTTGAATTGGTGCTTATCTGTAACTAAATTAAAAAAAACAATCATGTATTGTTAGGTGACTTTCTGAAGCAATCAACAAGAGAGAAGAGGGCTAACCTCATTTCTTCTAATAACAGCCCGTTACACAGCAATAGGTAGATTTCAGACAGGGAGGGCAGGAAGCCCAATTAGATCATCTGCCCTACGCACCGTTATGTCACTGGTGACAATATTTCTCACAACATTTAAGTAGGCCACAAGAGACCAAACAATTTTAAGTCACAGGGCAAAGAATAAGAAAGACAAACAGGCAGGGAACAGCCTGAAAAATTAGGCACTCAAATCTGCTGTAGTCTTCAGAGCTTTTGCAAAGCTTATCGACCAAATAGCCAAAAAAAGCTTCTTTTGCAACTATTCATATTACTATTCCACATTATTCTCTGTTCTAACTCTTGCTGAGGCCAATGTCAGATGAGCCAATAAAGATACAAACCCTCTACAACATATCTGACCAGTCTTGCACTGGGGAGGAAAGGGAGAGGGAACATCTTCCTCTATACATAGCCAGCTGAAGGTCTTAAGTGCAAAAGACTTGCAATCATTATGAAGGCATTGATAATCCATTTCCCCAAAGACCCATGAAAAAGGATCTTAACAGGTGATCTTCATGTGATTCCAGCAACAAACCTCACAACTTCAAGTGTTTTGACAAAACAGTCATATCATATGATACTAAAATTCTCCTGGAAATGGTACTACGGCAAGTCTTTCTGAAAAACAGCTGATTCTTTTGATGGCTGAGGACAGCATTAGGCACTAGCACCATGCTAGGATAACTGTCTGGTATTAATTACTGTTTTGCTTGCAGATGTAAGCTTTAATTTTGAAACCAAATTTGCATGTCATCAACTGATAAAGGCGGCTACTGTAATGTCTTCATTAATCAGAGTACCAGGCCTGACAGTGTTAGGTAATTCTTCTGTGCATGCCTTCCTATATCAAGTGATTAAACCATCATCCCGTATTCTCTTCAAAAATGTAGTTAGGCACCATAAACTTCGTATAGTAAGGTGCCTTCTGTCTGCATCGTTTTTCATGCTCCTTCAAGCTCTTCAGTATCTCCACATATCATCTGACACATGGACATAAAAACTGGACTTCATATATTAAGTGGTTTCACCAGTGTCATGTGCAAGAGCAAAATAACTTCTCTACCTGTATATGATATATCTACTAATAGTACAGCCCAGGACACTATTCCAATTGCCTTGAATTGATGGTTCACACTAAGGTGATCATCCAAAATAACCCCTAAGCTCTTTTACGTATCATTGCTTTTCAATACATCAAATATAGACTACAAAATTTTCACATACAGTGCCTAGTATAACTATCTAAATTAATTTTAATCAATTGTGACCGTTTAACTCAGGAAAAAAGATACCTTCTACTTCTGTAATTAAAAATAATTTCCTACTGTCGGAAAAAAAAATATATTACACTAGATCAGCATACATTAAGAGTTTTTAAAACCATCAACTACAGAAAATAGAAAAACCACCACCAGGACAGTATTGCTTAAGGCCAAATTGTTCCTCACTGTTACAGAGATGCGCAGGGAGGGAACCAGGACTACAAAGCACCTTTCCTTTCTTGCATGCCTATGATGAACAGAGTAGGCTCTACCCTCTGAGGAACACAAGCACCGCTCTGTCTTTGCAGCCCCTACTTACACACAGTGCACCAGAAACTCGGGGAGCAGGTCCACAGAGCTGGCGCATGCTGAGCTCTAGAAAGCAAGGAAACCAGACAAGGATGCTTCCAACTCTACTGTATTGTGTAAAATACCACATATATCCAGTGAATGCTGTGAGGGAAGCTGTAAATCACTATTCATTTTGGGGGGGGTTGTTTTCTATAATATAGATGTGATTTGGTTTGTTCGACTCAAGAGGAAGTATAGATGATCTATCAGCTACTGTACTAACATGCAAACCTTAACAAAAAATTATGACAACATTTAGCTTACTGTATAGCTTTCCTTTTAACTAGTATCAGCTGTACATTTGTAAGACCATAGTTTCAAACACTTAAAGCTGATAAAACACATCATTGCCACTAAAATAAGGAACCCCAAGTTGTTTTGTATGTCGCTCCCAACAACGTACCTATACTTTGTGTTGAGACAGATATTTATATGGCACACACTAAGAAAAGGGAACTGATCCAGGTTTAAACTAGTCTTTACTTTTACTTTTTTTGCCAGGGTAATTTTGACTTAGATCAGTACACCGATCCCAGAAACTGCACAGCTACATAAATACCTATTCATTTTAAAACTATATGATATTCAGTTTCTTTTTGTAACTACAAAGCTCCTCACTGCCTTGAGAGGAAGCTTCCATCTCTAATCAGCAGCAACAAGTGACTGGACAAAGTATCTCAGCCCATTGGCTGATATAATTTTAATTCATTTCAGGTATTAGAGAATGCCACCAGGAAGATTTAGAATAGCAGCATACAGATTTTTCTTTTGCAAAACTGGGGAGAAAGAAAAAAAAAAAACACGGAAAACCCATAACTTTTCTACTTGCAAAAGTTCACACACCAGAAAGTAAAACAATGCCCACCACAACATGGGTCTGGCATTGCTAGAATGAAGCCTAGCACAGTGAAAACAATGGCCAGCATAGTGAATATGCAAAGTCTAACAAAGCCCTCTATAACATTTGCAATGTGAGTAACAGCCAAACTTTCTTTCTCTCTTGCTCCCTCTGTGAAAACAGATGGTTCATTCAACTTTATTTTAGGAATTCTATTTTCACTGAACCACAGCTGGATCCACTATTCAAAGTAGCATGTCTGGCTCACATTTCCATGCTCTAATTACCCTTTTATCTCATGAAATTACACAATATTCATTTAACTCTGTATTGAGAAAGTCTATGAGTGTATTTGGGATATAAATTACAAGATCAGGAGAAGAATCTTTGGCAACAGAATCATTCCATTGAAAACAATTCTGTGTGTGTAGTAAACATAATAGCATCTGACATTTGAATGATGGTGGAGGAAAATCATGTAGACTGACATTAAAGAATTAAAGACTACATGACTACTGATGAATAACCTTAATGTTTTTCCTCCTACTCTGCCTATGTTTAAAATGCACACAGCTAAGTGGCACTGTTACTCCCACTTTCTTTCCAGTCAAGGACACTGAAAACATCGTGGCAAAGAACTTAAAAAGTAAGTATTAAATTCATTGCTGGGTGAAGTATAGAAGCATTAAATTGTATATTATCAATTATTCCATCTAAATTTACACCCTGGATCTATGCTGGAACAGTAGCTAACTTCACAACTGTTTCACTGTTGTTTTTTTCTTAAGTGACTGTACGTATTTTAAGCCAAACATGCCTTCAAAACCAGAAGTTTCCCTAGCTCGCTTATTTGGTCCTACTGGACTATGCCTTGTAAATGGGACAGAGATGAGGACCTGCTCTGGTAAGAGAAAAATGTTGCCAATGCAAGTTACCTCCAGAAATCAAACCTTCCTATTGGCTCAAAAACTGAACCATTTCAGTGATACTTCTCTCCAGAATGAGCTAAACACAGATAGTTGACCGAAAGTTTCAGCATAAAAATATCAATTTTAGTAACTATAAAAAGTAGTGAAAATAAGGCCCTAAAATTCAAAAGATTAAACTGTTGGGTTCTAGGTTGGATTCCACCAGCTCCGCTTGTAATACCTAACAGATGCGCAGGCACATTTATCAACAGCCAACTGTGACTCACTCTCTTCTACAATTCTTAGTTGAACATGTATCCCTAAAAAGCCTGGCCTTAATAAAAGGTTCAAATCCTTAAAAGCAGTCTAACGTTCTCTGTTCCCCCAGAATTTATTTTTGCTTACAAGAGAATAGCAATGTTTCTCTAGGTCCCTCTTTGCAATGTTGTGATCCCAACAGCATAGATGTAATCTGATTAAATCAATGGAGCCTCTCCCAGTAAATCCTCTAGGCATGGACAATAGCCCCATAAGGTCCCTGCAAGGATATAATGCAGATTCAACAAGCTGTCTTGCATTAACAAGACCACCTTTTCGTCAAACAAAATTAAGTCCGCTCTAATTACAACAATTACCTTGAAAACAAGTAAGTTAAAACTAATCATATTTACCATGATGGATAATGCCATTCTCTAATAAAGCTTGGCCAAGATGAACACCCTCTTCAGATTTGTGTATCTCTCCAATTTCCAACAACCAGGACACAAATTCACTGAATTAAAAACAGATACAATAAACAAACTTTAAATGTCATACCACCACATCGACTACATTTCCCTCTCAGTTACTAGTGTTTCTTACTAGCCTAGTAAGTGACACTTAAGCCTAATGATCTTCAGAATGCCATACCACCTTTAAAAAACCCACTCATTTCAACTTTTTTATTATTTTGACATAAATACATATGGTTTCCCTTGAGATATCTTTTCTGTTCAAAAGTTTTACCTTTGCACATGGTGCACCATTAGCAAGTTTGCTGATGATACCAAACTGGGAGGTGCTGTTGACTCTCTTGAGGGACAAGATGCCTTGCAGAGGGATCTAGATAGATTGGAGCATTGGACAATGATTAATGGGATGAAATTTAACAAGTCCAAATGCCGGATCCTGCACCCAGGATGGAGTAATGCCATGCACAAGTATAAATTGGGAGAGGAGTGGCTGGAGAGCAGCCCTGCAGAAAGGGATCTGGGGGTGCTGGTCGACAGCAGGCTCAATATGAGTCAGCAGTGTGCCCTGGCAGCCAAGAGGGCAAACCGCATCCTGGGGTGCATCAAACACAGTATGACCAGCCCCTTCGCACAGTGCACCATTAGCAAGTTTGCTGATGATACCAAACTGGGAGGTGCTGTTGACTCTCTTGAGATGCCTTGCAGAGGGATCTAGATAGATTGGAGCATTGGACATTGGAC